AAAGCTGGCACCAGTGACTCACACCTGTAATCCTGCGACTCAGGAGGTTGAGATCTGAGGGCCTGGACAGGAAAGTCCTTAAGACTCTTATCTCTAAACACCAAAAAGGCCAGAAGTGGAGCTGTGGCTCAAGTGATAGAGCATCAGCTTTGAGCCAAAGCAGGCCCTGAGATTCAGTTTTAGATGGTTATTATCCCCAAGGCATGAGAGCAGGTAAATTGTAAAATCTGTACAGCTGACGTGAGTGAATCTGGACATTCTGGCTCTAGAACCCATGCTGTTAACAGTCTTCTAGAATCTTCCAGGTTATAATACCTGTCATTGCCCCAAATTGCCAATCTGACCAGCCCTGACTGCAGAGGAAGCTGAAGAAGTGAGTGTTTGCTTTGTCAGGCATTCAAGGGAAAGGGCTGAGAGCAGATATTGGGTGAACCGTCCAACAATGTCTGCTCTAGGTAGGAATGCCAGTGTCCTCTCTGAGACGTGTTCTTGTAGTGTGCCCTGTTGTCCTGTGGCTGCAGTTGTGGTCTGAGAAGGGAGACTGTACTGTGTGCAGGTGCTTTCTGCTGATACTGCATGATGTCTTAAGTTTTGTGTAGAAAACTGTGTAGGCTAGACGAAAATTCAGTGAGAATGGTTTGTGGCAAGTGATAGAAATCCACCTGAATGAATGTAAGCCAAAAAAAAAACAAAGTGTGAACCTGTAATCTTAGCTTTTAAAGAGGCAACGGTAGAGGATCAGAAGTCCAAGGACCACCTGGCCAAGACCACATCTCAAAAAGATATAGTCACTAATGGGCTAGAGGCATTTCACCTGTCTAGCAAACACAAGTCTCTGAACTGAAATCAAAGCATTAATACACACACACACACGCACACACACACACACACACACGAGTCACAGCTGGCTCATGCATATAATTCTAGCTATCTAGGAAGCAGAGATCTGGAGGATCATGGTTTGAAGCCAGCCAGGACAGAAAAATACCCATGAGACTCCTTTGCCAATTAATGGACAAAATACTAAGCTGGAGCCATGGCTCAAGTGGTCATAGTGCTTGCTGAGCAAGTAAGCCAAACAAATACAAAAATTCCTAAGTTTAAGTCCTGATCAAACAAAATAAATAACAACCTAACAAGACTATTAAGGACAGTTTTTGATGCTTAGAAACCACTCTGTAATAAGTGTGTGTATGTGGGGGGGGTAGTACTGGGGCTTGAATTTAGGGCCTGGACACTGCCTTGATGTCTTTATCACTTGAGCCACAGTTCTTTTTTTTTTTTTTTTGTCCACCATGGGGCTTGAACTCTGGGCCTGGGCGCTGTCCCTTCAGCTCAAGGCTGGCATTCTACCACCTGAGCCACAGCACCACTTCCAACTTTTTCTGTGTATGGGGTGCTGAGGAATCGAACCCAAGGCTTCATGCATGCTAAGCAAGCACTCTACCACTAAGCCACATTCCCAGCCCGAGCCACAGTTCTACTTCGAACTTTTTGCTAGTCATTGGTGATGAGTCTCCTGCTGCTTAGGATTCTTGCTGCTTGTGTCTTGCTGCTCAGGCTAGCTTTGAACCAAGATCCTCGGATCTGAGCCTCCTATAAAGCCAGGATTACGGGTTTGAGCTGCTTGCACTTGGCTTTGTTATAACTTGTTATTGCAAGAAACTGAACCCTACCAGGGCTGCTTTGTATTTTTACTTTTTCTTCACTATACATTAGTCAAGGACAGATTTGGGCTACTATCACAGAGCTCCCCCAAATCTAGGCGCTCAGCAAGACAGAAATTCACATCTCTCTCGCCTAGCTGTGCAGACAGGCAGGTGGGTCAGGAAACTGCCAGGGGTCCCTTCCTAGTGTCCTCACATGAACATAATTAGCTATGAGAATGGCTCTAAATTACTCTGGTTGGGATGCTGGACTCTGAGGAGGGATGGTCTGTTCATAGAAAGGACAGGGGGTATTGAAGGCCTTTTTTCCTTCCTCTCTGTACCTGGGGACATGGCTCCATGCTCATGTTTCACTCTTAAAGAAAGGTGTTTTTTTTCCCCACCTTCTTTTTTGTGTGCCTGTCCTGGGTTTTTAACTCAGGGCTTGGGTATTGTCCCTGAGTTGTTATTCTTCCTCTCTCTCTCTCTCTCTCTCTCTTTCCAGCTCTCCAGGCTAACACTCTACAATGTAAGCCGTAACTCTGCTAACTCTACAACGTAAGCCGTAACTCTGCTTCCAGTTTTTTGTTTATTTTTGCTAATCTTGGGGTTTGAACTCAGCGCCTGGTACTGTCCCTGATTGTTATTGTTGTTGTTGTTTTTTGTCGGTCGTGGGGCTTGAACACTGGGCCTGGGAGCTGTCCCTCAGCTCTTCAGCTCAAGGCTAGTGCTCTACTACTTGAGCCACAGCACCACGTCTGGTTTCCTGAGTGGTTTATTGGAGATAAGAGTCTCACAGACTTTCCTGCTCGGGCTGGCTTTGAACAGCGATCCTCAGATCTCAGCCTCCTGGGTAGCTAGGATAACAGTTGTAAGCCACTGGCACCCGGCTATCCCTGAGCTTCTTTTGCTCAAGGTTAGCACTCTATCACTTAAGCCACAGCTCCATTTCTGGCTTTTTCTGAGTAGTTTATTAGAAATAAGAGTCTCATGGACTTTACTGCCTGGGCTGTCTTTGAACTGCAGTCTTCAGAACTCAGCTTCCTAAGTAACTAGAATGACGAATGACAGACAAGAGCCACTAGTGCCCAGGTACACTTCCAGCTCTTTTTGGTGCTTAATTGGAGATAAAAGCCTCTTAGAGTTTCCTGCCTGCAATGGCTTTGAACTTCGTTACTTGTATCTCAGCCTCCTGCCTAGCAAGGATTACAGGTGTGAGCCACCTGTACAAATACAAGCATAAGCACCGTTTTTGTTTTGTTTTGTTTTTTGGTCAGTCCTGAGGCTTGAACTCAGGGCCTGGATGCTGTCCCTGAGCTCTTTTGCTCAAGGCTAGTCTTCTACCATTTTGAGCCACAGCTCCACTTCTGGCTTTCCGATGGTTCATTGGAGATAAGAGTCTCACATACTTTCCTGCCCAGGCTGGCTTTGAACCAGGATCCTCAGATAGCCAGGATATAGGCATGAGCCACTGATGCCTAGCTTTCCTTCTACTTTTAGTCTGACAAATCTTCAGTGATTTGTGGCATCCTTTTGATCAATCACTGTGGCCAATGGTGTTTGGTTCTGTGATGAACCCCATCGGGGTGGTGACCTTTCCTTCATCTATTGCCCCCTAAATGGTAGAGGGGAAAAATCAGAGTCCCTTATTGATTGGGACTAGGAAGACAAAACAGCCCAGCTATAGTTAGTTACATAGCCATACTGTTTGAAAGTGTGTTAGCTGTTGTGAATGTGTAACCCAGGCAAGGCCAGCTGGACTCCATCTCCATGGTGGCTGTCATCGCAGGGACACTTTGTCACCTAAAATTACTTTTATCTAAGTAATTGTAAACTCCCAGAAGAGAAGACGGGGTGGAAAGACCTTGAGGTTTTATACAGTAACTGAGGACCAAATGGGATGCATTGGGCCACAGAGTTTCAGGAGAAGGCATACATCTGAATTTTTTTTCATATATTTGAATTTTTAGACACACTCTTAAAAATGCTGTAAATGAATCCAAAATTTAAAAAAAAATGAGAGGTCAAATAAAACACTCTTCAAGGATAAATTTGGTCATGATCTGACTTGTCAAGAACTAGGCACTCTTTCAACCAATCACTGGTCCTATGACCCCCTCCCCCCCAAAAAAAAGTGTCTATCCAGGCCTCTGTGGTTCACACCTGTAATCCTAGCTACTCAAGAGGCTGAGATGTGAGGATCATAGTTTGAAGCCAACCTGGATAGCAAAACCCATGAGACTCATCTCCAATTAATCACCAAAAAGCCAGAAGTGGCAATGTGGTTCAAGTGGTAGAGTGTCAGTCTTGAGAGAGGGAGGCGTGGGGGGCGGGATTAAGAGACAGCCCCCAGGCCCTGAGTTCAAGACCCAGCACTGCTCAAATAAAACCCTGAGTATCTCTCAGTTTAAGCCCAAGGAGAACAAGCCAAGCAACAACTTTCTTGCTTCGTGTGTGTTTATGTGTGTTGTGCTTCTCAGACTCCACTAAGTGCAGGAATCACAGGAAAGCCTAATGTTTACAGGCAGATTGTAACCGGCAGGTCCCAGCGGAGCCTCAGTCCTTGGCTTTTCTAACAAGTTCCTAGGTGATGGTGCCGTTGTGTTGCAATCCTGGGGCACTCTGGAGCAACCATTATTTTTGAAGGAGCGGGCTGGGAGAACTGGCCATGTAGCTGTATGTGGTTGATGCTTTTGCTTAGATTTGGGTTTATTTAGGTTGGCAGAGAGCGGAGGATGGGGGGGGGGCTCCCCATGCTACCTTACTGGGCTGTCAGGTGTCAATGCCTAGGGTTCCTACTCCAAAAGGAATAAAAGTTTCTGGCACAGGTGGAGACCTAAACCCAGAACCCCTGGGGGAGGGGCAGGGCCAGTAGCGATGGGGCTGGGGAGGGGAGGGTTAGGGGCGGGCTCAAGAGGAGGGGGAGAGTTGGGGGGAGGGAAGGAACAAGGGACTGGGGACGGAGGCTGGGGCCTGGCGAGGGTTAGGGATCGGGGCTGGGGGTGGGGATAACGGACAGGGGACAGGGGGCCGGGGTCGGGGCAGGACCCGGGGCTCTGCTTCCCCACGCCGGGTCTGGTTTCCCGGGACGTCTCACGTGCGTGCGATGCGCAGGGCGCTGTCAATCAAGCCTGGGGTCCAGCTGCCCGGGGTTTAAAGGCGGCTAGGGCGGCTGCGCAGAGCGCTCCCATGGTGCCGCGCGGCGGGCGGGTTTGGATTTTAAATCCCCGCGGCCAATCAGGGGCGCGCAGCTTCTAGTAACGTTCCCGGCGCGGCGTTTGAATTCGGGGCGGAGCGGAGCCGGCGGAGCCTCGGCCGCGATCTCGCCCGGTGCGCCCAGCAAGCTCGGGGACCATGAGTGCGGCGGCCACGGCGGGGAAGCTGGCGCGGGCACCCGCGGAG